TGCCAAGAACCTACAACCAAGATTACTTTATCCAGCAAAGCTATCATTCAGAAGTGAAGGTCAGATAAAGAGCTTCACAGATAAGGAAAAGCTAAAGGAGTTCATCACCACCAAACCAGGATTATATGAAATGCTGAAAGGTATCCTTTAAGAAGAGGAAGAAGAAAAAAAAGGTAAAGATACAAATTATGAACAACAAAAACACATCTATCATTGAATCTAAAAATCAAGTGAATACATAATCTGATGAACAGAATAAACTGGTGAGTATAATAGAATCAGGGTCATAGAAAGTGAGTGGACTGACAATTCTCGGGGGGAAAGGTGTTTGGGGGGTATGGGAAGAGACTGGACAAAAATCATACACCTATGGATGAGGACAGTGGGGAGTGGGTAAGGGCAGAGGGTGGGGTGGGAACTGGGTGGAGGGGAGCTTGGGGGGGAAAAAAGAGGAACAACCGTAATAATCTGAACAATAAAGATTTAATTTTTTTAAAAAAAAAGACTGACATATGAGCAATAGGACAAGTAGCACCACATGAGAACTAAAGCGCTCTCCCCAGTAGGCTGCTCCAGAGGGACCACACAATGGGAGACAGTACCCAGGAGGAGACAGCAGACTTATTTATCAGATAGTCCTTGGGGACTCCCAGAAGTCCTGGGGAGAACTTTGTGGAAGCCTGAAATCTTGTGTGAGTAGGTCGGAGAAAAAGCCGCAGAAGTCTAGTCACATGGTTAATGTGCCCTGTTTCGTACTCCAGGTGGTTAAGGCCAAGAGTAGGATGTAGCTCTCTTGCCCTCCTCCATCCAGGGATGCTATTTCTCCACCCCTTCCTCCTTCTTATCCAATGTATCTCCAATTCTGCTCACCCTCCCACCCCCCACAGCCCAGCAGACACAACCTCAGACCTTGGATAGGAAGAGGTCCAAAGGCCATCCTGGTCCAGCCCCTTCTATGCAGGAGAGGGCAGGGCCAGGAGAAGGCACCTACCTCAGAGGCGGTGATTGGAGCTTGGCTGATGCCCCTGTTGACGGAGTTCCACGAGCGAGCTGTCAGCATGCAAGCAAGCAAGGGGTAGAAGTCGCCAGCTCCCAGACGGAGGCAATACTTCTTCACCTTCTCCATGTCAGTCCAGATCAGCGACTGCCAGAGGTGGCAGTAGTCCAGGCGGAACTCTTCCGTGAGCACCTACAGTGGGGGCGACCATGGCCAGACTTGAGCCTCCTCTCCCTATCCAGACCTAGTCCCTGGCTGGAGTGGCCACTGTGAGGGGGGATGGATGAAGACAGTGGCTCCTGCACAACATCTGCTTTCCCCCAAAAGTCAGTCGAAGTCCAAAGCTACTATTTGGCCAGCCTTCATCCTAAGTGGCAGAAATTATATTCCCCGCCTCCCGCTTAGTTAGATGTGGCCCTGGGCCTGGGCTCTGACCTACAGAATGTGGCAGAAGCTCCACCCCCAGCTTGGCCCATGCGTTCTCCTTCTCCTCCGAGCCCTTACCCCTCTGGGTACAGATGGTGAAACCACCCGAGGGAGGCCTGGGGTCAGAGCCTCAGTCAGCCCCTGCTTTCGGCCTCCTCCACCCACCCAAGACTGACACATGAGCAAGCATTACACACCTTCTGTGTCTGGGCCACCATTTGTTCGGGGGCTGCTCATGACAGCAGCTGGCCTACCTTAAACTAACATACCCAACGTCACTGAGCCTTTCAAAGGGGGCCAAGATTTTGGGATGTGGAATTAGAACTCTGAGGGAAGGGGCTGAGGACCAGGAGACTATAGAGACAGCCTCCTCAACAACCATTTGTCTCCTAGAATAAAACCTGGTCCTGGCCGCTGCCACATCCGTGGCCCCGGAACAGGGGCACCCGGGGGTCCTTCGCCCCCCGAGCCGGGGCTTCACCGCCCCCCCACCCCGTGTCCAAGCTAGACCGCGTGGATGCCTGGCTCCTCCGGAAGGCTCATAAGACAGCCTTCCTCTCCTGGTTTCAAAATGGCCTCCTGGCATCCAGCATCGGGGTCATCTCCTTCATGCAGAGTAACAT